TGTTTGTGTTTTACTTGCTAGCACTGGAATAGTTTTACCTGAGAATTCTATTTGAGACACAAATCTGGAAAGAAAAAAAAGCTAATGGTAAATACCAGGGGAGAATAAGAAGTTGACAGTTTCTAGGTCCCCAGATAGTAACAGAAACATAATGAGATATTGGAATAATGTTATTGGTCCTCATCAGACATGGTGGCACATGCCTGTAATTCCAACTTCTTAGGAGGCTCAGGCAGGAGAACTGCAAGTGAGAAGCCAGCCTGAGCAAATCTGTGAGACCATGTCTCAAAAAACAAAATAAAGAGTGCTGAGGGAGTAACTCACTACTAAAAAGAAAGAAAGAATTATTAGGAACTCAAAATTTATATCTTCTTTATAGAGGCTGATACCAGTCCTTCTGAGAGCTAAAATCATCTTAAGTGTGATGGCCCTAATTGTGATCAGTTAATAAAATCAACATTCCACTCAGCCAAAAGAAAACTTGCATTTGTGGGAGGACGAGCTAAGCATGAGTTTTCTAAAAAAAAAAAAAAGGGAATTTTCTTCAAGAAATGTGTATAATAACTGTCAGTTTTGTCTTCCCATATTCCTCCAAAAACACCTGTTTTCCATCTCATTAAATGTCACAATCATCCATCCACCCAGCTAATTCAAAAGTCAAGTCAGCCCTGATTTCTTTTTCGCTGGTCTGTCTCCCACCAAGCCTCCCAACAACAGTCAAACCTCCAGAATCCATCCCAGATCACAGAATCCATCTTCCTAACCAACATCATCACACCCAAGCTGCTGCCACCACCTCTCACCCAATAACTGGGACAGCCCCCAGCTATTACTATTCCTACCTGTGTCCCTCCACTCTTATTATCTAAGACTGGAGACTTTAATAAGACTGTTACTATCTACACAACACGTAAAGCAACTACATTCTTCCCCTGCACAAAAGCTCACAGTTTGTTAAACAAAAGTCCATGTTCATTTCATGGTTTTCAAAACAGTGCCATTCTGGCTCCTGAAATCTTTCCTTTCTATCCCTAGTTCACCAGGTCTCTTATGTGCCCCATTATGCCCTCTGAACTGGTTCCTGGTGCTACCCGGAATGACCTTTCCTCACAAGTGGCCTCGTGAGTCCCCAAAGAGGTCCCCTCTGCATTTACCTTGTTCTATCTCATTCCCTCTGTCATATTATACAGGTTTATTTCCTTCATATCACTTATTAGAATGTGATAGAAATTAATCTACGCTTTTAGTATTTGTCAGTGCTCCCCTATAAGACGTGCATTTCAGAAGAACAAAATTTTGTTCCACTCACTAGCTAACATATTTCAGAACCCTAAACTATTACCTACCTAAATTTTAGAAAAGTTGACTCTCCAAGCAGGTCCCAAGCAAGCCTAAAATTCCAAATAGAGCCCTTATTTAATGGGGTCTTCTCAGAAAAATAATGCACTGAGTTTTGTGGCTTTTGTCTGGATGTGTTCCTGCTTCAACTATCAAGATAAACAGTCCACTCCAGTAAGTTTCATTTTGCCCCTGGTGTTACTTATTTTTCTCTTGTTGCTGAGACAAAAATACTCATTACCCAAAATGAAGGAAGGAAAGGTTTATTTAGCTCACAGTTTGTAGAGGTTTCAGTCCAAAATCTGCTGGTTCCAAGGCAGGGTGGCAAGGCGCAGGGGCAACTCTTCAAGGTGGCAGAAGACAGAAAAAGCAACAAGACCAAAAGGAGGTCTTATCCTCCCTTAATATAAGCAGGTTACCACCCCCCAGCAGGTGTAGCACTCACACCACCTCTGTGTCCTCCTCTTGCACAGACTGAGGATGCTTACTAAGTATGGAAGTTTAGTTAAACTTCTAGACTTCTTAAGTTGACACAATGTATCAACCATTTCACCACCTGAATCTGATCAATGAATTACTAGTCACAGTACAGTCATATGCAAATGTCGACCAATCAGGAATATTGCTGCATTTGCATAAAGCTGGCATACTCAGAACTGAATACACTTGATCTGTCACTTGCATACATCAAAACTTCACAAGGCCTTTTTCTATAGAAATCAGCCATGCAGCCATCCTTATTCCTTCTGAACACACTCTCAGTTTGTGCCAAATGCTGCTTATCCCTGGCTTACCAACTCCTTCCTTTTCTCTTTTCTTTTCTTTTCCTCCAAAAGGCTCCCCTTTCCCTGAATTATTTCCTAGCAAAGACTTGACACTTGGCATGTACAACATGTATGGAAAACATCTGTAGATAAATTAACAGGAACACTCAAAGCTATTTATGTCTTGTAAAGCTCTTAAATCCTTAAGTTAGAATGTGAGAGAAAAGGTGGTCTTTTTATATTTTCCCTAGCATTCTGTAAAGCAAAATGATAGCTCATAGACCTAGAAATATATTTTAAAAATGAGACTAAACTCAGAAGGGTTAACTGAAGTAGGCCAGTTCACAAGCTCTATCAGTAAGATCCCAATCAAAGGTACTTTTTACTTAAATTACCTGTGTATGTGAAGATGGAAAAGGGACAAGAGTCCGTTGAGGGAGGGAATGAAACTACAAGGTCAAGGGGTAGGAAGACTGCCAGCAATGAGCATATTCCTGCGGAGTATTATGGCTTGAAGGGCAACTGTTGTCAAGAGGATTATTGGTTAGAAATGCTCCCAGCAGCTATTTTCTGTAAAGCAGCAGAGAGACTAATTATCAGCAGCTTCTCTCCCCGAGGGTAAGTAGATTCTTCTCCAGTCCATTTTGATGCCTCGGTCTCCAGAGCCCCAGAGCTGTTATTTCTCTGGATTTTGAAGCAAATCCTTGAGTATGGATCCAGTAAGTACATGATTTTGTCACTGAGCTGCTATATCAGTACATGGCGCAGTGCATCTTAGGAGAATACCTTTAATGTCTTCTTTGTTTCATGTTTGTTTTTTTGTGGACAAGTAAGAGACTTAATGCAGAGCCAATAAATGTAGTAAGAAAATACAATGACTTCAACCTGGGGATAGAAATTCTCTCATTTTAGGGAAAGGACTACATACAGGCTAGAAGGATATAAATTTTTGTGGTTTTGTTTCTCACTCTTTAAGCCACACCCAGCTGCGCTCCAAAGTAACATCACTAAGGACACAAGAATGGAGAGAGGTGAGGCATAAGGGGTCAGCTGAATTTTAAAAACTAGAGAGAAGGACTGGGGATGTAGCTCAATGGCAAAGCACTTGCCCAGTATGTGTGAGGCCCAGGTTCATCCTCAATAATACAAAACTAAGTAATAAACAATTTAAAACAGAGAACAAAAAGGGTTAACATATTCCTTTCAGCTTACCCCAGTTCTACACCTGTTAACTAACAAGACTGTTTACTCCTGAGCTTTAATGGAGAAAACAGAAGTTAAGTAAGAATAGTTTTAATCAAAAATTAAGCACTAGTCATATCCAGCAATAATATTCCCTTTATCTGTACTATGTTTATGTTTATTTAAGATTCCAAAACATACCTACACTTAATGTACCATAATCCTAAGATTCTCCCTCTATAATATCAGAGATTTCTCATAGAGGAGAAAGAAGGAAAGAATTAAACTATACAATTTTTCCCATAGAAAGAAAATCTACCCAGCAGTGATTTTTTTAAAAGTATCACAAGCATAAATAAATTTTAAAAACTCAAGGAAAGTTCATAAGCAACAGCATAACCCAGAGATTTTTCTTTCAGGTGGAAAGAAACAAGAATTTCTTTAAATATTTTATCATTTATTTTGCAGATACTGAAGGGAGATTGAGGAAGACCACAGGTAGGGAAGAGAAAAAAGAAAACTAAGCAAACACAGAACTTTTTTGGAAGGTTCTGAAAATGATGCACTGAACCACAGAGTACAGGATTTCTACACCGAACCACATGCACAGGTCCCTCACATCATCTTTTTTTTTTTGAGACAGAATCTCAATAAATGGCTCTGGTTGTGCTTAAACTTGCAATCCTCCTGCCTCAGCTTCCCAAGTAGCTGGGATTGCAGGGATGGGTGCCATCTTGCTTAGCTACAGTTAGTTATTTACAACTATATTTTGACCTCAGCCTCTATTCATCATTGCTGTCACTCAGAACTTCATTATTTCACTGTCTGAACCACAGCACATACAACTGAAGAAGACTAACGAGAGAGCAGATGCAGTTAGCAACAACCAAACACATGCAATGAAGCTGCTGGAAGGAGGACCCTTTGCTCTGAGGGCACCAGGGAACCAGCCAGCTCATCACCTTTCTTAGAAGAATTTACATATGTCAATCCTTACATATCTGCTTTCAGAAAAATACTCATCACAACCCATGTCACACACATACCACATACCTGAGAAAGCTTAGTGACACTCTGGCTTGAATAGGATAATCCAGCTGTTCTGACACTCATGATAAGTAAACACGCCTTTTGAATTACTGTTTCACAGTATTAACTATTGGTGAATGGGGGCCAAGGAGGTAAACAGACAATGCTGCTCTACATCAGTTTAGTACAGAAATGAGTTAGGACCGCGCTGAAACAGTGCCTTACGGCCCATGGAAACCAGCGACCCATGGGAACAGCATCTCGCCCTGTGGAGCTGCTTCCAAAGGAATGCATATAACCAGCAAGGTCAGAAATACTGACTTAGCGCCTCTTTAAAATCATTACTGATGGGCTGAGGATATAGCCCAATAAAAGAGCTCTTACCTAGTCCTGGATTCTATTTCAGCATCCCAACAACTTTGTCTCTAAGTTTTAATATTTAAATTCATTGCTGATTAGACCCGACTAGAAAAGAGTTGAGTGGCCATTCATTAAGGAAAGGATACATTTAATACAGTAGTCAAAAGCCAAGCATAGATACAGATTTGCTGAGCCACTGAATGGCCCAGGGTAGAAAGGTTTGCATCACGTGTTGTTTTGAAATTATAGAGGAAGTAGGCAGACACAGCACGGTTGCTATTTCAGCTGTAACCCACCTCACAGACAGAAGTGAATTCTCTTACTTACATCAAATGGAGCAGAACTTGACTGAGCATTCTGGCTACATGGTTCCCTGAAGCAGTCACTAAAAGGAAGTAGAAGACCCATGGCAATGATCCGGGAGCAGAACTTTTCTGCTTCTTCTGGAGGACCGTTCTCCTGCTGGCTGAACAGCTTCTCCAACAGAGTCCGCCCTGCAAATGAGACACAGTCATTAGGACGGAGAACTGCCAGATCACCTGGCTCCAGCTCTCCAGGGAGAGGTGAGTAAACACAGGCAATGAGCAACTCCATTTCCAAGGCTACTGATGTGTAGAGCAAAGGGCCTCTCAACAGGGAAACTGCAGGGTGGCACCTGGTAGGAAAGGACAGCAGGTACTTGCTGTTGCAGCCCCCAAAACAATGTCTGTCTCCAAAGAGAATGGGCCAAGTTACCAGCTGCACCTGACGAAGCCCCCACACATTTAGATTTAACTAGCAATTCTGCTCTCTTTTTGTTTACCCTGAAGAAGGTTCTTTGAGGCAACAGTAACCCAATGTGTCACCATTCAGGCCTAGAAATGTCAGTGTCTGACATTCACAGTCTTGGGGTTGGCAATGGAGAAGGACAGAGAATGTGACAAGAAGACAGGCAAAGGCACCAATCCATGAGAAGGGAGGAGAGCTGGCCAGCAACAAAGTCACTCTGAAGAGACCAAAAGCCAGAAATTCAACATGTTTTCAAATGTTCCTCCGGACCCTAACGCTTCATTATTTCACTAAAAGACATGCAACGAAAGAGATACTGGCTGAGGACCTTTGGGGACCTGAGGCTCCTTAGTCCAGGGTTCTCATCTTGACTGTGCCTTAGAATCATCTGGAAGAACAAAGTCACTGGAACTTTATTGGTCACCACTGTTTCCAGTGATAGCCAGAGGTGAGAGCCACGGCTCATGTATTTTTGACACTCCTGGCTCTCTAACCTTCATATATCAGTGTAGCTTTTTCTGTGTGCATAATCTATGATAGAAAAAATGGGAAATTGTCTAGGGTGCCTGCCAAGGCCACAGCTGCTCCTGAGTTCTTAACCTCCTGATGCCATTCCATCTAACTAGTGGATTTGACTTAAGATCAAAATCACTTATATAGAAAAATTTTCAATGACTTCCTCTCATACCCTTTGGAATCTTTATACGTACTTCTTTCTGTAAGAACCTGTTTTTGTAGATGGGGTTATCACTATATTGCTCAGGTTGTTCTCCAGTTGCTGGGTTGAAATAATCCTCTTACAGATACCTCAGCCTCCTAAGTAGCTAGGATCAAAAGGCACCCACCACTGTGCTGAGCTTTCTTCTAATCAACCATGTTAATTATCTAATAGGTTGTGCAATCTTTTTCTAATATCTACCTCCTTCATTTTCACACAAATTGAAGGCCAGCATATATCCTGCAAACCTGGCCAACTGCACAGAAAAAGCATTGGTAAATATTCGTGGGATTTCTGAATTAACATGATGCTAACATTCTGTGACACAGATTCATTCACAACATGGTAGAGCTGAAAATGAAACATCAGATTACATCATCACATTCTTTCTGTAAAGGGCCAAATAGTAAAAATTTTTGGCTTTGTGAACCACATAAGGTTGCTGCTGCATATTCTTCTCAGGTTTCATTTTGTTTTAAAACACTTTTGACTCTAGAGAAGTCATTCTTTGTTCCAAGCTTCACAAAACCAGGCCAAGACCTATACTTTGGTGACAACGAAATCTTAAAACATAAATGTACACCAGTCATAACAATAGTCACGCAATTTTCCTGCCTCTACTTCTGCCAGTAAAACAAAACTAATCTAAAAACCTGCCTTTAATATGTGTAATGATAGGCAGGGATGTGGCTCAGTGTGCAGTAGATACTTAGCATGCAGCTTCAATCGCAGGCACGGAAACAAAAACTGGTGTGACAAAGTAAAATAAAAAAGGCTTCTTTCTTTTCTCCATTCCTTTATGTCATTAGAAAACTCTCTTTGGTCTTCCAAGTCATTTTTTGAGAAGCAGTAAAGAATTTTTCCCCAATAGAACTGAAGTTTACCTGTACAGAAGTTAACTGGAACTAAATACCCAGAAAATCACAAGTTATTAATCACCCTAACATTACATCCATCATACTCATATAATCAAAAGACAGAAAACAGCCCTAATACTACTCTAGTTCATTCCTACAATTCACACACTGTGTAACAAAAAATAAGGGGAAAAGGGCCTGGTATTCCTGAGAGTAAACAGGACATAGTGAATGTATAGGTGCATATTGAATCAAAAATTATCAAAGGGTTATGGAATAATGTGGAAGCAAGGACTATGACTCACTATGACCACGGCCGAGAAGCCCAACCTCACCTCTTTCTAATGGGAGCCTCACAGCCAGGCGTTAACCATAACATGGCTGCCCCATAAAAACTTCCTGGTCCTCAGGTCCTCTCAGATAAAGGCATTTTATGCAAAACCTGCATATTTAAGAGACAGAAAGTGGGTGGGCAACCCCTTTAATCCCCAAGAACACATCCAGATGATTATTTCCTTCAAAACCACGGGCTTCTTTGAAAATTCCTGACACTGATTAGGTCACCTGCTGCTCCTCTTCCTTTCCGCCATCTTTTCACTCCCTCCTCACCCCTCCCATTCACTGAGCACTGCATCCTTCAACAACTCCCATCCTACTTTCCTCCCACCTTGCTAGCATTATCACTGGTGCTGACATCATGGGATCCAACACAAGCACAGAAACTTCATCTGAAAACTTGGTTCCTTATCTCCAGCAGAATTTCCTCTACCACCACCCCATTCCCGTGGCGTACTCTTGAACTGGTCTTCATCAGGCACTCCTCTACTTCTAGAGATGAATGCCAAAATTTACCCCAACCCCTCCCCAGTGGCTTCCAAATGCCTCTCCACCTCTCTCTCTCTCTCTCTCTCTCTCTCTCTCTCTCTCTCTCTATCTCTATCTCTATCTTCCTCCCCCCATAGCCAAACTTTAGCTTTAGCACCACAACACTTCCCCCAGACACTTGAATGACTCACTCCATCTCTCAGAGGTCTGCTCAATTGTCACTCCCACTGCCAGAACTTCCTGACTGCCCTTTCTAAAATAGCACATCCTGTCCCTTTTTCCCCCATTATTTACCCACTCCTCTTCAGAGAGCTTAGCCTTTGAATTCAAGTTACACTGTGGGCTGTCACTTGATAGAATATATAAACTCCATTTCAACAGACTTTGCTTGTTACCCCCTTTCACCCCAGAACTCAAGGAGTAGTGACAAGGAGAAGACGACTGATTATATTTTCCTAAATATCAATGAATCAATATAGGTGCAAATGCCTGGATGGAACTCCTAACCCTTAGCAACCACCTTCTACCCTTTAAGCTCTTCCTCTAACCCCTTCTAAAGCTCCTTCCTCCACACAGACCTGACCTCCCACTAGTTGTAGTGATCACTGTCACATGATACGTCATTGCCATACCTGACTTCACCTCCTCAAATTCTACATCCCACCACTGTAATTAAATCCTGCAATCACTTCAGCTCCCTCACATTTGCTCATTAAACCACAAGATGTCTCCATGTAGCCACCCCCTTTTCTTTGCCTGCACCTGAGCAAGTGAACACAGTAGAAGACACATTTATTGTCGGTTTTCAATATCTCCACTAAACACCGCACCGCTCTGCACTCTTATCTAAGCCTCCACTCTCCAGTGCAAATTTTATACATCTTCCTCTCTGCCAGCCCAGCCCTTCCAATGATGAGACAATGATCTTCTCAAATTTATAGAGAAAAATGGGAGAATCTGAGACAAACTGCAAATACCTGCTGCACCCACCCCCTCACCTTCCTTGCAGTGCGAAGGAGCCCTGCCACACACAAAGCAAGTTGTTCCCCTGGGGTTTAAATGAGATTCTTTGAGGCATGCTCAAAACTCGGCTTCCGCTACACACTCTCTCTCCTGAACCAGGAGCACCTCCCTCTTTACAGACATTCCCAGTGCACACAAACATGCTCTAAAACACATCTCTGCCTGGGGAAGCTGGTCAGAGTGCTTGCTTAGGATTGTGAAGCCATAGAATTGTAAAAAATAATTTTTCTTAGGTTTACATGGGTTCTCATTCCTCTATCTCATTTCTTGGCTTCCTTCACATTAAAACTACCAGTTGAAATTATCTACTCACCTACTCACTCCTGGCTCAGTTCATTCTAATTTGACTTCCATATCATGGAAGAAAGACTAAAAGGAACTTGGTACCAATGATATTTCTGTCTTTGCCTTACTCAATTTCTTAATCACCAGTAAAAGTTTCAATACTAAGTCTCCTACCCCTTAAAACACTTTTTCATCTTCATGATACTCTATTTCTATTTTCTCTGACTTGCTGACCACTTGCTATCCAGTTTCCTTTACTGGATTATCAACCCAACATTTCCATGGTTCCTCGATCACTGTATGGCTTATTCATTCAACTCTTCCCATATTCCTGACTATAACCCCACCAACGTATAAATACTCCTCTCCTCGAGATCACCTCAACTAAAAGTATATGCACAAGTGCCACCATAGCTGAGTGGAATACCTAAGGTAGCTACTAAAAACTTGGGGGACTACATTATAGTAGTTGGAGGACTAAAGATGAGGATAAGAATCCAAGAAATCACCACACCAGTAGTGAGTTTACCACCATCCCTCAGTATTGATTTACAGAAGCCCAAACCCAAAAGTGGCCTGTGTACTACTGACAGGTAAATTTTAGAAGACACTTTAGTAATATACATTAATAATCTTTAAATACTTCACCTTTATGTCCTAAGAATTCACCCTCAGAAAGTATGACAGATAAGTAATTACAGGTGGAATCTAAGAGTGACTGGAAAACTATGAATCTATCTCAGAATTATTGTAAAGATCCAATGAGATAATGCATCTAAAGTGCTTAGCCCAGTTCACGGTATAATAACTCATGGAGTACTAATAATTTGAAAATTGGAAGAAAAATACAATTTTTACAATAATATAACTTTTTAGAATATAAAATCAAAATTCAATAAATTGTTTGGCTATACATCAATAATAAAATAGCTAAGAAATAAGAAAAAAAAGTCCATTCACAGTAGCTTCAAAAAGTACTGAGGAATTAGGCTAAACAAAGAGGTAAAAATATCTCTAC